TGGGACTCCTCATGACTCCATGTTGGACTTTTCACTTTAGAAAGTTCCTGCGAGAGTCATCAGGACTCCTTACGATTCCTGCTGGAGTTTTTCATAAACTTGGGACTCCCGTTGGAGTTTTGCCGGAAGTCTCGACTAGGGCGCTCCTTCTCTTCGGACCCATCATTGGAGCTACTTTCATCATCCTCGAATTCTGGACCAAAACGTTTTCTTTTTTTCTTTTTCGGCTCACTATCCATCCGCAATCGCTGCTTTTGGAATATCAACATCGACTTGAATGAGAGCCATTTGCTGTCGAACGTATTTATGACAATTTCTTATTTCTAAATTTGAACATGTTTTTAACTTTCTGTATCGAGGATGCAGTAGCGTAGCGGTGTAGTGACGAATATCGAGAGTAAACATTAAATTTAATAGTTGAACCGTACGAGTACGGAAAAATGACAAACCTAAACAACAACAGGGAAGCATGTTCATGATGCTCTTTCATGTGCTACTATTCTGTTCCAAAATAGAATGCAGTCGATAATTTTTTAAATATCTCGAGAACAGTTGGCAACTGATGGCATTCTATTTTGAAATGGACAGCAGAGATAAAATTTCAGCGAAATCTCGTTGGTTTTAACGTTTCTGCTAAGCCAAAAGGATGCAATGACTGATCGAGCATCCGGCTATTTTCTCCCTCAATTCAGAACGACGATGGTGGAGTACGATAACCAAATCAACTAAATTACCTTCACTTTCATACTCGACAAGATCATCTGTGTTATATCTATTATCTCTATTATTTTCTTGATTTGCTTGCTTTTTATCATCCAATTCTTGTCGATTATATTTGAATAACGATTCCGATGTTCTCAATGTTTTTCTCAATTTCAAAACGCATATTAATACCATGTATAGAGAGGGTTCACATCCTTTTTGTATCAAGGTAATTACACGTTTAAATGGTTTTAGTAATTGAATTAATTCTTGAACGTTTTGTTTATCAATGTGAAACTTGTTCTGTTGTTTTTTCCCAGCCAACACTTTTTTGGTTTGTTCATAAGACTTTGCAATCGATTCTAATAGATTAATTAATGAAAGCCACCGAACGGTAGTAGACTGTTTCAAACAGACACCTCCATAATCTTGTATATCTTTATTTAAACCATTCTAAAGCAGAAAAATGTTTTAGGTTAGTTATTCTCGAAAAATGTAGATTTCTTCAATATTTACCAGTTTGACGTATTTGACCAACGATTTACAATTGTTTATCGTTCTCAAAAAATCTAAACTCGCGTGTAATAATTCTCCTATAGGTTTTTTTGTTATATCTGCATTTTTCTTGAGATCGCGTTTAACAGACATAGATAAATACATGTTTAACGGGATATCATCGTCGCTGTCAAATCCGTCGCTATCAGATGAGGTTTTTTCTAATTCCAAACGTGTTAAATCGCTGTTTCTTGTTGCGAGAAGGGAAGATGAGGCGGCAACTAACGCTAAAGCTGTTGCTTTTTCCTTTTTTTGTTGTTGATAAAAAGAAAGTTTGAGGATATTATTCAGCCGATGAGCAAAACAATACATCGGAGTGAATTGTCTCAATGCTGCAACAAAATTTGAACCACGATCGCTGATAAAATTCAGTTTATTTAGTTCAATTAATCCATAGACCTCAAGTCCTTTAGTTAGTAACTATTAGGTTGGCTAATAAATAATGTCGGATTTTTTTCTTTCTTAATAAATCTGTTTAATAAACGTCTTCTTTAGTTGACCTTATGCTTGTTGGAAAGCTCATGTCTTGCTGATTATTTTGATATATTATACGTTGAAGCTAACTTGTAAATTGTGCAACTTTTTATTTAGATGAACATCGATGTTGAAAAGTGTCAAATCAGACACTGCATGCTTTACGAATTTCGTCAAGGCAATAATGCAACAAAAGCGGCGCAGGCCATTTGTTCCGTCTACGGAGATGCTGCCCTTAATGAACGCACGTGCCAGAGATGGTTTGCCAAGTTCCGAGCTGGAAATTTCGACCTCAATGATGAAGAACGCCCTGGAAGACCAACGAAACTTGATGACGACGATTTGCAAGCTTTGCTCGACGAAGACCCACGGCAATCATCAAGAAATGGCCAAAAAGCTCGGCACTGTTCACCAAACGGTTCTGAACCACTTGCATGAAATGGGCAAAATTTTGAAAGCGGGAACGTGGGTCCCCGCACAAACTGTCTGAAGTCAACGTTATGCAACGTTTGAACACATGCGTTTTTCTTGCCGCCAAACAACAAAAGGAGAGTTTCTTGTGGAAAATCGTCACCGGAGATCAAAAATGGATTTTTTACGAGAACCCGAGTAAGAAAAAACAATGGTTGGATCGCGGCCAGCCAGCCGTTCCGACACCGAAACCCGACCATCACGGCAAAAAAGTTATGCTTTGTGTTTGGTGGGACAGCAAAGG